AGGAAGGGAAGAAGGGGAAAGGGAAAGGAAGGGAAGAAGGGGAAAGGAAGAAAGGGAAAGGGGCAGAAAGGAAAAGGAAAGGGAGGAAGGAAGGAAAGAAAGAAGGGAAGAAGGGGAAGAAAGGAACGAAAGAAAAGCAAAAGGGAGGGAGAGAGGGAGGAAGTTGTGATGTATGGTGCTTATACCTATTTGGCAGAGCGGTGGGGAAGGGGTGGGGTGTGAAGTGAATCCCCCCCCACATTTCCAGCCACAATCATTTCTCCTGCTTTCATGCAGCCCTATGGAAATGACCCTGGGAGGGAATCTCTTGTGAAGCGTGAACAGCTGCCTGGTGGGGCTGGGCCTGTCAGAGACATAGAAGTATCTCTTAGCAGCCATAATTGTCCCTTCCACCACCTCACGCCACAATCTAAACTCAAGGAATTTGAGGAATTTGAAAGGAATTCCCAAGCTGCCCCAAAATGAGGTGGAAAACCAGAAGCCTCTTTGGCAAAGGGGGGGAAAAAAATTGGCAAGAGAGAGAGATTTGGGCACTGAGGTAAAGCAGGGATCTCCACCTTTGACAACTTTTGAGACTTGTGGACTTCAACTCCCAGAATTCCCTAGCCAGCATGGCTGGCTGAGGAATTCTGGGAGTTGAAGTCCACAAGTCTTCAAGTTGCCAAGTGTGGAGACCTCTGAGGTAAAGGGACTCCTCGACTTACAACCTAGCCCCCCCCCCAAAAAAAAACGTACATCGCTAAGCGAGACAGACATGCGTTAAGTGTGTTTTGCCCCCATCTTATGACTTTTCTCACCGCATTTGTTACGCGGGATCCCTGCAATGGGTCACACCGTTGTTAAGTGAATCGGGCTTCCACGATGACTTTGCCTGTCAAGAAGGCTGCCCAAAGGGATCACGTGACCCTGGGACGGGGCAACTGGGACCGTCATAAATAGGAACCAGTTGCCAGGCAACCGGATGTAAATCACGTGACCCTGGGGATGCTGCAACGATCATCAAGTGTGAAAAGTGGACATACGTCACTTTTTTCAGGGCCGCTGTAACTTCCAATGGTCACTAAATGAACTGTTGAAGGTCGAGGGCTACCTAAACTTGATGGGCCCCTCCGTCGCCTGCCTAATTCTGACAGAAGATCCTTAATTCCCATTTCCTAAAATGTGACGAGAAGGTCCAGGAGAGACATGATAGCAGTCTTCCAATATTTGAAGGGCTGCCACGGAGAGGAGGAAGGGGTCTGTCAACTCGTAAAATATTTCTATGTTTTTTTTTAGAGTTGCCAACAGAAAGGGAGGGGGGGCAAAGGGGTTCGAAAGGGCAGTGCGGCAGCTTGGAAATCGAAAGTGCATTCCATAAATAGTTTTTCAAAGATAGTAACTCGGTGACTGAAGTTTCTGCTGGGCAAAATTCTAACTGGAGAGCATGACTGATGACTCTGGGCTATGGAGGTGTCCCATTGGCGGATATATGAATTATGATACACCTAGTCGGGTGGGGGGAAACTAGGGTCAAGAGTGACAATAAATGATGTGTCTCAGAGTCGGCTACACCCAGGCAGTGCCAGACATGTTAACTCCCAATAAATCCTTTTGAAGTTTTGGACATTTGGCTCGAGATTCATGATTTAAATGTGGGGTAACTGCCGGAATCCTGACAGGGTTCAAGCAGAGGTGGGATTCAGCCGGTTCGTCCCAGTTCAACTGAACCAGATGTTAAATTTACATCTGGTTCGCTGAACCGGTAGTTGAACCGACCGGCTAGCCCCACTCATCCCTCCCTTCCCTTCCCTTCCCCTCCCAGGAATGTCCACGCGGCCCATTTTGGATGCAGGTAAGTGCAAGGTCCGCGTGGAGGCTCTGGGAAAGTGAAAAACGGGCCGAACCAGAAGTTCCGGAAATCCAGAAATGGGCCTGTTTCTGGTTTCTGGAGGGCCTCCAGAGCCTGGGGGGGGGGGCTGTTTTCACCCTCCCAGAAGCTCGAGGGAAGCCTCCGGACTCTGGGGAAGGGGAAAAATGGCCCTCCAGGAAGTTCCGGTAGGCCACGCCCCACCATGGCCACGCGCACTCAGCAACCGGGCAGAGAACCGGTTGCTGGGATTTTTTGAATCCGAACATCACCGGAAGCTTTCAAGAAGAGACTAGCCCGCCATTGGTCAGAAATGGTGTAGGGTCTCCTGCTTGGGCAGGGGGGGGGGGTTGGACTAGATGACTTTCAAGGTCCCTTCCAACTCTGTTAATCTGTAAATCTGTAATGTGCCTCCATTCCAGCCTGTTTTTCCTGATTAAACCCGTCCGGTGATTCCACAGGCATCCATCCACAAGCAACACATTTTTATTTTCCAACCGGGCACTTAAGAAAACCTCCGACAACACAACTCTGGTGTCAAGCTGGCTCACACACCTCGGTTTCTCTTCCCAGCCAACCCGAGATTGCTGCTTGAACGCCTGTATTACAGTTTCTTTTCTTGGTTTTAATCCTTCCGGGTTCTCTCGGGGGAGCAACAGAGGAAATGGTTTTCGACTCACTACTGCGGAATGTAAAACCAATTATTATTTTCCTGTCCTTTTCTTTTTCCCCCTTGCAGAAATTCCAAAGAAGTCCAATGGAGGACTGCTGGTTTTCTCACCTTTTCAGAAGAAAAAGGGTTGTGTTGGCCAATGGTTATCTACTAGCTATGTTCCCACATGTGCATTTAACCAGGTTCCATTAAAGAGCCGGTAGCTGCACTATCCATTGGTTGGTTTGAACTCCCATTTAGTTCTGGCTTTTCGGTGGCTTGGCTGGATCTGGTTAAATCCAGTTCTTTGGGCTGGTTCATGAATTGGGCATATCCAGAAAAAGAGGTCAACTCAACGTCAACCGAATCATGAATTGGAAGGAGTCTCAGAGGTCATCTACTGTAATATTGCTTGTTTGCTCAGTGTAATATTCAATCAATCAATCACCAATAGAGCTTGAAGGGACTTTGGAGGTCTTCTAGTCCAACCCCCTCTATCCCATTTCAGGCAGGTGGCTTCTTGACAACCTCCAGCGATGAAGCACCCACAACTTCTGAAAGGCAAGCCGTTCCACTGGTTCAATTGTTCTCAATTAAGCAGTGGAATTAACGTTACTTCAATAATTAAGATAATTAATTAGGTTAACAATCTATCATTGTTAATTGTATACGACAGTCCTCAACTTACGACAATTGGGACGGGAATTTGCCTTGCTAAACAAGGCATGTGTTAAGGGAGTCGTGCCCGATTTTATCATCTTTTTGCCAGGGTTGTTAAGCGAACCTCTTTAGTGGGTAAGTGAACCATGCGGTCGTTAAGCGCATCCGGCTTCCTCCCATTGATTTTCCTGGTCAGAAACTGGCTGGGAAGGTGGCAAAGGGTGATCGTGTGACCCCGGGATGCTGTAACCAGCGTAACCGTCATAAACACATGCCGGTTGCCAAGCGCTCACATTTTCATTATAATGACCCTGGGAATGCTGCGACCGTTGTTAAGAGTGTGGATTTTTGGTGGTAAGTCGCTTCATCCAGTGCTGTTGCAACTTCAGGTGGTCACGAAAGGAATCTCTACAGACTTTTGGGCTCTACAATTTGGGGTGAACAGGCTTGGAAAGGGGTGGGAGTAGGAATGGATTTCCAGAGGAAAATTGCAGATTACGAGAACCATTTGCACCACTCAGGTACCCTGAGGACCCAGATAAACCTCCAAGCGGCCTCAGTGACTCTCTAAAACAATGCAAATGACCAGCTGTGTCTTCAAGGAGTATAAATCCTTCCGTTCCCCTCCATCCAGTCAGAGCTGAAGAATCTTCTTGGTTGAGAAGCAAAATGTTAGTCCAGCCTCTTCTTGAAAGCCTCCAGTGATGAAACTCCCACAACTTCCAAAAGCAACTTCTATTCCATCGATTGATTGTTCTCACTGTCAGAAAGTTTCTCCTTATTTCCAGGTTAAATCTCTCCTTGTTCAGTTTCCATCCATTATTCCTTGTCTGGCCTTCGGGTGCTTTGGAGAATAGCTTGACCTCTTCCCTCCTATCTGTGGCAGCCCCTCTCAAACATTGGAAGGTCGCTATCATGTCTCCCCTGGTCCTTCTCTTCACGAGATTAGCCAGGTCCAGTTCCTGAAACCGTTCATCGTATGTTTTAGTCCCCTAATCATCCTGGTTGCTCTTCTCCGCATTTTTTCTAGAGTCTCAACATCTTTTTTTTTACAATGTGGTGACCAAAACTGGATGCAGTACTCTAGGTGTGGTCTTACTAAGGCTTTACAGAGTGGTATTAGTACCTCCCTTAATCTCGATTGTATCCCTCTGTTAATGCAATTTAGGATTGCATTGGCTTTTTTGGCTGCTTCTGCTGCACACTGCTGGCTCCTATTTAACTGGTTGTCCACTAAGACAAATCATTGGGACCAGACTTCCAAACTTGTGGATTCGGGGTTGGATTTTGTATGGGACACGTATATTTGTCTTCGTTTGTAATCCCATTTTTCCTGACCTGCCATTGTTCCGATATTCTCCTTCAACTTGTGACAAACGTTTCTGTGAGCCTTTTAAATTGCAGCTGCCCAAACTGCGTACGATCCTCCCAATTTGCACAACATGTATAAAACATGTTGTGCAAATCCAGCAAAATCTCTCTCCTTCTGTCTCTGTCTCTCTATCTCTGTCTCTCTTTCCATCTCTGTCTCTCTGTCTCTCTCCATTTCACTCTCTCTCTCTGTCTGTCTCTCTCGCTGTCTCACTCTGTCTCTGTCTCTGTCTGTGTCTCTGTCTGTCTGCCTCTCTCTCTCTCTCTCTCTCTGTCTCTCTCTGTCTCTCTCTGTCTCCATCTCCCTCTCTGTCTCTGTCTCTCTCTCTCTCTTTCCGTCTCTGTCTCTCTGTCTGTCTCTGTCTCTCTGTCTGTCTCTCTCCGTCTCACTCTCTGTCTGTGTCTCTGTCTGTTTGCCTCTCTCTCTGTCTCTGTCTCTCTCTGTCTCTGTCTCTCTCTCTCTTTCTGTCTCTGTCTCTCTGTCTGTCTCTGTCTCTGTCTCTCTGTCTGTCTCTCTCCGTCTCTCTCTCTCTGTCTGTGTCTCTGTCTGTCTGCCTCTCTCTCTGTCTCTGTCTCTCTCTCTCTCACTATCTCTCTCTGTCTCTCTCTCTCTAAGGAAGAGAGTGAACGTAGAGGGGTGGGGGGGAGGATAGGAAAACAAAGCAGAATGTGAAAATTGAGGTGCTGTTTTTCTCTTTTTTTTTTCCCTTATTTGCAAGGAGAGTTTTTCAAGCCAAACTTTTAAATGTTTATTTTGCAGTGTGTTTCAGTCCGTCTTTGGGTTTAGGTGAGACGCATGCGGCTTTGATCCCAAGCCAGGCATTTTCCAGAAGCTGCCCACGGTGGGTATTGGTGGGGGCACCAATTGGCACAAAGGCAGGAAAAAAACCAGCTGCAAATACTCAATCACGTTTTCTACGGAGGTAGGGAGAATGCAAACACTCCCACGTTCCTGCAGGGATATAAATGCACGGAGGGAGCAATAGGCCACCCACGTCAAAGAGCCACGGCTTTCATCTTGCCAGAAGTCAGAAAGAAGCGGCTGGTCTGACCCCCAGAATGAGCCCGGAGTGTAATTAAGACTTTTTTTTAAATAAAAAAAAGAGGAAAAGTGCAAAGCTGCGTGGAGAAATAAAGCGACGGAGGGTGAAACCGCCCGGAATCCAGCAGCTTTGAAACTCCTGCATAATTTAGTGTGAAAACCTCCTGAGAGCCGCTCGTGCCTGCAGCAGGAGCCGAAGCTTCCCACCACGGGAGAGAACGGCTGCCACGATCCCTCTCCCTTCCCTCCCCACGTACCTCGTCCACAATCAGGTTGCAGTCGCTTTTCTCTCCGTCGCTCTCCTGCAAGACAGCCAGGAAAAAGAAACGGGGAAGGAAGGAAGCAGGAGAGAGAGAGAGAGAGAGAGGAGGAAGGAAAGAAGGAAGGAAGGAAGGAAGGAAGGAAGGAAGGAAGGAAGGAAGGAAGGAAGGAAGGAAGGAAGGAAGGAAGGAAAAAGGAAGAAGAGATGGGAGAAGAAGGAAGGAAGGAGAAAGAAAGGAGGGAGGGGGGAGAGA